AAACATTGTCTGTTAGTGTTTAGCTAAACCACTGTAAAAGCTGTCGAGATAACAATGATACTAATACGCTGTTTAATAACGTTCATTGGGCACTCTCCAAGTATACAGCGACTCAGTTACTTGAATGCTGCAAATACTGACTAAAGTTATGAATTAGATGGTTTCTGTTCACTGGTTTGAGGTGGTAAGTTCATTCTCACAACTGGCAAGCTCAGAATGACCTCATGCATTTGTCTGTGTCTAGTGAGCGATCAATTGCTTCTGCAAGTTAGCATGGGACCTCAACAAGCAGCTATTGTGAAATATGGATGCATCACACGGAGTCAAACATTGAGGTAAAAACAATCAGGGCGTTATACAGGCTTTTTATCTTGTTAGGAATCAATAGCCGTACGCATCTTGGACTCAACTCAGATTCGAATCAAAGAACGAAGAATCGTAACCTGACCCAATGGTTAACTGGATGGGTCATCAAACGCTGGCTTCAGACTGACCTAAGTATGGACAGATTTCCCCAGAGAGAATGAGTTGTTGGAGTAGCAAACATTGATTCGGTACGTAGAAATGCATTATGCGATTTCAACACTCCTCATATAGTACTAAAAATAATAGAAAACCCATATATTGTTGGTTCCTTCTAAGGACCCATTAGCAGTGCAAAACTATAGAGGTTGTGACGTTACTAAATCGGACACTCGGAGTTGTGAGTTCCACACGTGACCTTCAGGTTACCCGGACGGTGTACAGGAGTTGGTTCCGTCTCACACAGCTGCATGATGAAACAGTTCCAGAGCGTTATTCGCGACTATTTTAAAATGAAATACACAACAGTCGAATATACTCCATTTTCCTAAATACACAAACATGCACACACTAGTTTGCAGGAAGACACTTCTGATAGTTCATTATATTAACAATGTGGCTAAGAATTGAATGAAATGTGTCAACATAAGAGAAACGGAAAACTGGGAATAAATCGATAGGTGTTTTATCCCTGCTAAATGTCACTGACGGTCAAGAACCATTCACATTCTCGACTTGGCGTATTTCCAACCAACTTTAGAGCGGTCGCGGCTTGAGTTTGGAAAATGGACCGCAAATTTAGACTGATCGCATATGAAAATGATGGTGAAGGATGAACGGTTTTATTATTGTCATTTTTGTGTCTTCTATTTGAAGGCGGTGGGGGCCCGGTGGTAACATCACCAAATTATCACCCCGGGGATGTGTTCGAATCCCACTACCACCGCTTCACGTTCCCCATTGTGTGTTGAATTGCAGCCCTCTGATAGGCCACTTCCCTCTTCCTGAAAATTGTATCTTTGTATATTCAATAAAAGGAAGTAAAATGAAAAAGAAAAAAGAAAAGAACACGGAGTTGTTTCGTGTTTAATTAACGCAACATGTAAGATGTAATGCATGATTAAGTTCTTCAACGATCAGGTGCGGGTATTCACCAGACGAACTATCTAAGATCGGTATGGATGTGTCGTAAGACCACCACCACCACTACCACCACCAGCAACATCAACAACAAGAAAGGATTGATGACAGCAACAACGACATTACTAACAATAGTAGCAAAAACATTCCCTACATCATTATCACATTTGGAGATGTTTGGTACCAGATTGCTAATTTTTCAGTACCAGTTTATTTCGAACAATAAACAATACATAAAGTAGCACGAAATCAATTTCCACTCCATTTTGTGGAATGAAATCATTTTCATGCGAAATTTCCTCAAAACCTAGACCCCAACCTTCTAAACAAAACAATGTTCTTTTGTATGTATGTGGCGTTCACAGACCGACTCATCTGAACAACCGATTTGCCTTTTCGATGACCCGTAAATAACGAACCGATTGGGATAGAGGAAAGCGAAACAGGCACAAAGTTGTTGAATGCGTGAGACCTTACGCGCACGCGCGAGCGTGAAAGTACGTGGAACAACATGTGCCGAGAATGAGCAGAAAAAAGTGGAGAGATGTGTGCGTCTGTTTGCGTGGCTGTATGCATACATGTGGCCCCCCAAAGGGTTGTGGTGCAAGCACGTAGAGGTAGTCGCATTGGCAGTGTGAATCGAAGATAAGATGGGATAATCAGAGGGGTTTAATCTAATCTTACTTCGTTTCAAACTGTGCCCCGCAAAAAAGTGTTCAAGTGAATTCAGTTCTAAGGTAATGTTTTTCCCCATTGATTTTAGAATGACACACCAGGACGAAAAATGTAGGACTGATTGGATAGCATTGGATGCACCACTAACATTGTCAGTTATTCAAACGTGTTTTAACATCACTTTCAAAATAATGAGATCATTTTTTCTAACGGTTACATTTACACAAGAAAACTGAAAGGCAGAGCCAACATAAAAACTTCGAGCCACGTATTCCTTTTCTGATAAGAAGGCAATACGAACTTGAATGCACACCATTTGTTACTATTACATAAAGGTAGAACGCCACCACACGTTAGTTGACTGCTAGTACAGTATTCTGTGCAAACCAGAATTAATCCAATTCGATTAGTCTCGGTCGATGTCCACTCGGCAAGCGGAAAAATTCGCTGATTTCCGACCAAGCGACGTTTCTTGCCTCATTCAGGTAGACAAACACATCCGTGCATCTCTTCCGCTAGCCACAGAATCATTCAGCCACTGTCCACATTCACTTCTATCCCCAGTTTTATTGATCAATACGCATCTCTCTGTTTCATGGTTATTGAAACTGTCTATTCACATGCTTGTGTGAATCAGCTAAATTCCTCGTGAATACGTCGGCCTATCAGATTGTGTTGCGATGAGATGTGAAAAGACAAAATAATCAGAAATCTAAGCAAAACGAATAATGAAACTAAATTAAAATTTAGCGTTGCGTTTCGCAGTAAATTTTTAAACAGGAAAAAATAGTTTCGGCAACTAAATAATGTATAAAATTCACGAAAGATGGTCAACCCTAATTATTATTCGGGTATGGAAAACCAGGCTTATTTCAGTGAGATTTGTTTGTGATGTTACTGGTAATTCTCGGATACAATTGATATAAGGGAACTAATTGGACCAAAGGAACTGATTGAGTGAAAACCACTACTCAATGGATTATGAAAAAGGCTACCGATGAGTCCGTAATTGAAATATTTCATATTGATTTCCTCTGACATTAGTACAGTCTCTGTTCATACGCCCAAGCCTCAGGTCTTGAGTGAGCCGATTAGCACAATGGCACTACACAAACCTTCCGTGCGATCGGTTCGACGGATGAAAGGTTAATTACTACAAATGGGCTTCCAGAAGGTGCGGCTGGCTGAAGAAACTGAGGATTGTGCATGAAGATGGAGCCTAAATGATGATCAATCTAATGCAATATATTCAACTCACATTACTGCTCACCAGTGACGATTGGCCAAATTGATTCCAGAATGACAGAGTGGAATCAAACCAGTTCAATGCATATGGTGAACACAGTCAACTCGTTGACTAATGCCACACGATAAACGGGTCATTTCGCACAGCGATGTCCTCCTTACATGAATAAGGGTATTAGAGAACCCACATAATTGCAAACCAAATTAACTTCCAGACTGTTATATTCTATTACGCATGGTTAAAAAATAAATCTTGAGGGGTTCATTGAACACAATGTGACCACTCTAAAATGGTACAAACGGAGTGTCCGTTTCGTGCTCTTTGTCAGCGACCCTGCATAAAGTCCACAGGTGTATACTTTATGTTACACAGCTCATAAGTTGTTCCTGAGTGCCACTATTATAATAATTCGCTTGATCTGAGATGTGAGCGAACAGAGCAACATTAAAATATATTTCCGATTTAAATAAGCTTTGCAATACTGAACAATAAATTCGACAACCATGTGCCCAACTAGTTTTCAGACTTCCATTCATTTCGTTCTACATCTTCTACAAAGCAACTTGGTCTCCAACGTTCCTACCTCAAATCTTGGTCACTAGGTCTTGTGAAACTTGCATCGCGTACATTCAAGAGGAACTTGTACCTTTTCTCAGGTAAACGGGGTTAACCCCCTCTCAAATTCTCATCCTTTAGAAGGTTCAAACTCGCCTTTCGATGGATTAATCTGACCAAAAGAGGGGCGAGCCCTCTTCTACTTCTTCGTTCGCATTTTTGATCATGTCCAACACAAAATCATCCGCCTTTGTGGTCGATCCACCCACGCTATCGAGTGTTTAACCAGTTGACCTTCGCCAAGCAGATCGTGTTCTTGTCCCTGTTCTACCGCCATTTTCACGGAGTTCGTTTTGTGAACATTGCCGATTTAGTCCCTCTTCACTTGCATTTAATCGTGACAACCGGCCAACCTTACCGAGTGACTCTGGAAACCTCTGGAATGGTGGACTGTGAATCCTTCTTCCTTCCAAGAACCGCGAAGTTGTGCAGCCCTCTTCAACTCTCCATTACTTCCCCTCATAATGTTTCTATATACAAATTCAAAAGCACCGAGTTATATTTAGGATGAATACTCTACCATTCCTATTGTGCGGTAGTCTCCATGATTTTCAGTTTCATTCCATTACTGAACAGCACGCTCTTAATGTGTTATAAAACCTACAGACTGTCATAACAAGATGGGAAGAGACAGAAATGATTTCATTAACCCTTACATAGGTTGCATACTTTTGGAGGGAAGTTATTGCCAAGAACAGAATCAAAACAGTAGTGAAGCAAGAAATAACAGGAACCACGAAACCTGACGGTGTGTGTGGGGGGGGGAGGAGGAGCTTGAACGAACGAGATTGCATTGGATCAGGTTCAAATGCCATGGGTTTGGATCGCAGTCCGCGCTGGTAGATGTACGTTGGACGACGTATAAATGGCCCTCATTAGGCCTCACAGATGATATAGATTTCGGAGTTCATGTCCCGGAAAGCATAATCGTTTTAATGGAACAGCCTGACTAGAAAAGTGTTTGCTTTCGTTTCGTCGATTTCATGTGACCACAAAAACCTGTGTGTCTGTTCGGACACCATTAAGGCTTTGCCAAGGTGCAGTTACCAGATTCCGTCGACACTGCACCTGGTGAGCCATCATCTTGTTTGTGAGGTTTCCGATCATCGGTGTTCGATTGAAACGATTTCTGATTGTGATCGACTAGGGAATTCACGCCAAAGTTGATATATTTTCGGGAGGTTGAGGCTAAAAATAGATTTGAGGAATATGAAGAGAGCTTAAAACACTAAATAATTAAACAAGAACAGAATAGAAAACATCCTCAGAAGTTCATGTGGTGGATTCCGGTGAATTATAAAAAATATTTGCCCGAGAGGACGGCTTACATGCTGATCGGTGGTTAGCATACGCCTCTGTAAATTGGATTCAAATGTAAAAAGGTGTGTGCTTTTGGCCTAGGCCCGTAGCTCAGCTGATAGAACGTGCGGGGATTCATATTACATGGATGCAAACGGACTTTTTCTAATGGAAGCATAAGACTGCTATCTTCCATGACCTGCTAAACAACATCAATCAGTAAAGAATTCACAGCTA